GGACCAAGCTAGGGTGGCACCAAGCATTTTACATGAATTCTCATATTTGTTCCTTTCAACAGCTCTGTATCAGAGCAGTCAAGGCCATTACCTTGTTTTACAGATGAGGAAACTAGTATACAGAAAGGGGAAGAGCCAGATCAGATAGCTGGTGGGGAGCCAGTTTTGTAAGCCAGTTTTTTAGACTCTAGAGGCCCTATTCTAAGTGTCCCCCTCTGGGCCTGCCAGCACTACCACATACAAAATTATAGGTTGATTATCAGAGAAAAGCACAAGAATCATTGCCCCAGAATATGCCTGTTAGCCAAGAGAAATCCGTGAGATCTGGTAAATACTGGAGGGACCTCTGAGTGTCCTGGGATGGGCTCCTCCTGATTGGATGAGAAGCAGTGGTAGGCACCGTAAGGGCAAAAAGGAAACCCCAAATTTGGAGCTTGACTAGGACATGTGGGGCTTCAAGAATGGAAGGAAAAATAACACTAAAAGCAGCTGTCCCAGGGCAGCTGATGTCTATAAAAGGAGAAGAAACCTCCTCTCTTCTGTCTCATTTCTTACTGAGCATTTACTATGAAAAACCAGATACATGCTGGAAACTCATGCATGGCTGAAAGTCACTTTCTGTCTCATTCTCAAAATAACCCTACAAAGTAGGTATGCTTATTGGTATGATTATGCCATGTTGTTATAGATGAAGAAACTGAGGCTCAGAACAGTGAAATAGCTGATAAGGGTTAGAGACAGAGTTTGAACTCCGGTCTGTGTGACTCCAAAACTTTTTAATGCACCATCATGGTTTCAGTAGTAAGAGAGAAAAGAGTTGATGGGTATGACATTTAAGTCCATTCTATTTCTTTGTTATTTATTATTATTATTTTTTAATTTTTAGACTTTTTAAAAAGATTTTTATTTATTTATTTGACAGACAGAGATCACAAGCAGGCAGAGAGGCAGGCAGAGAGAGAAGGAGGGGAAGCAGGCTCTCTGCTGAGCAGAGAGCCCGATGGGGGCCTCGATCCCAGGACCCTGGGATCATGACCTGAGCCGAAGGCAGAGGCTTTAACCCACTGAGCCACCCAGGCATCCCGTGTTGTTATTTTTTAAATAAAATTTTAAAAATTGAACACTAAGCTGGTACACGCCCAACCATCTTTTGGCATAATTTTTTAAAGTGACTTTTTGACCATAAAGTTTGAACATATTCAACAAGATTTGGAGAATACAGACCTATAGAGAGAAATAAAAGAAACAAAACAAAATCGGGTAATTTTTGGACCATTATTATCATTTATGGTGTTCCTTTCCGCTCTTTGCTATGAATAATGTGCGGTTCACATTTTACACTGAAGTTACCAAACTGTATACCTGCTTAATATTACAAGCATCTTTATCCTTTTATTAAGTTGCATTGTTATCAGTTTATGAACTGTGAAGTATTACATCTCATAGGCGTACCTTATGTTTTTAACTGTTCCCTTTGTGATTCCTTCTAAACTTTGTTGTTAGAAAAATATTTCTTCAAATATCTTGGAGCATATATCTTTGTCTTAATTTAGGACTATTTCCCTGAAGTTAGTTCCCAGAAGAGGAATGTCTGGGTCAAAAGGCCTGCACATTCAGTTAAGCATCTGCTTTTAGCTCAGGTCATGATCCTAGGGTCCTGGGATCGAGTCCCACATCAGGCTTCCTGCTTAGTGGGGAGTCTGCTTCTCCCTCTACCCCTCCACTCTTGCTCATGATCTCTCTCTCTCTCTCTCTCAAATAAATAAATAAAATCTTAAAAAAAAAAAAAAAGGTCTGGGCATTATTTAAGTCTTTGGTGCATATTGCCAAATGGCTTTCCAAAAGATTTTAGCAAGTCGTTTTTCCACCAGAAATGTAAAAGTATCTGTTGCTCACATGGACAACAGTCTTGTGTCACCAGTTTTTTAAACTTCAAAATTGAAAAGCTATAAATGGTCTTTTTTATAATCTTTTTTTTTTTTTTTTAGAAAGGCAGACTGCCATGTGCAGCGCCTCATTTTGGATGTGTCTGGAGTCTTGGAAGCTTGACTACCCGATGTTCTCATACAAATAGACCTTGAGAGCTTGTTTGGAGGTTATAGCAGGGGAGCGCAGCTACTCGTATACCCTTGACCGAAGAACAGTCCTCTCCTCTATTGGGGAAGGTCGTCCTCTTCGACTGAGCGTGCAGCTTTGAGAGGGACGCACATGGAGCGGTGAGGGAGGAAGGGGACACCCGCCTAGCCAGCCAGATCAGCCGAATCAACCCTGGCAATCAATGGGGTGACAGATGTCGCAGCCAGATCACCCTCACAACCTATAAATGGCCTTTTAGTTTGCACTGCTTTGATTACTCCTGTGAGGTGGAAAATGTCCCGTGTTTATTGTTTTATCTCTCTCCACTAACTAGTTATTGGGTCCTTAGTCTATTATCAATGTTAGGCGTTCTTCACATAATAGAAGAATTAACCCATTGTCTGTAAGACATTTTCCTAGTCTGAAGTTTGCCTTTTAATGCTGGCTATGATTTTGGAGTAGGATAGGTTTTTTTGGGGGGGTTTCTTTCTAACAATAGAAGTTAAAGAATGTTTTTGTTTTGTAAATAACCCTGTCCATCTTTTCCATAAGAATTTTTCCAGTTTTGAGTGCTTGGGTAGCTCAGTGGGTTGAGCAGCTGCCTTCAGCTCAGGTTGTGATCTCAGGGTCCTGGGATCGAGCCCTCTAACCCCTACCCCCACTTCGGTCTCCCCACTCAACAGGGAGTGTGCTTGTCTCTCTCCCTCTCCCTCTGCCCATCCCCCTGCTCCTGGTCACTCTCTCAAATAAATAAAAATCTTAAAAAAAAAAAAAAAGAATTCTTCCATTTTCTCTAATCCTAGAAAACCATTCACAGAAAACCTCCAGTGTCAGGTTCGAGAACTGATGGAGATGTCTGAGCTGTTTGTCATCTTTTTAATAACAAAGGGGAGAAGAGAATTATTTCTTTTTTCCTTCATACATTTGACTTTCCTTGACTTTTTGTTTTAGTACCTTAAAATATGCTCATTGGGAGTGGGTACTCCGGTAGGAAATGTGAATATGTATATGTGTCCAAAAAGTCTGGAGAAATACGTACCAAAAATACTAATATTGGTTATTTCCAGTTGATGGGAGCAGGGCTGGAATGGATTTATTATTCAAAGGGTGTCCGGCACCCTTATTTCCTTTTGGCAAGATATCTTTCTTCATCCCACAGCGTGGCTGCCCATGGCAGTACATTTTCCTGATATAGTATCTCATTTCCTTGGCAATAGTTTATTTGGGGCCAAGCGGTAGGCATGTTACTCTAGCACAACTCATCAGAGTCCTTCCCTGAGACTGATACATGAAACTGGGTATAGCTCTCCTGCTGGGTTCATTTGGAAAGCTGGGTCTGCCTCACACCATGTTTTTTGCCAGGCAGAGTGATCACTGGGCAGTGGAAGGGAAGCCAACGTGCAGAGAAATCGAGACAAGGAGAGATGCAAGAAAGCAAATCCTATACCAAGATCCTGATCCATGGTGTTCTTCCTTCAATCTTGCAATCAGCTGTTGGAGTCAGTTACCTCTTTGATGAAGCTGGCTTTAGTTGGGATTCTGTTATCTGGCAAGTGAAAGAATCTGATTAGTGACAAGGATGGTCTTTGTGTGTTTTTAGTATCGGACGTAATTATTGGTTTAGTAGAAATATTCTTTTAAAGAGACAGAGAATTTATTTGTTTAAAAAAGAAAGTGTAAGTGCCCTCGGACATGATCAAAAGCAGGCAAAATGTAAAACAGAGCATAACAGTTGTATGAGTCCTCAGGACAGAGGCCACTTTATCACCTCAGGAATGTTGTCAATGAGATAGACAAGAATTTGTGGTGAAACAATTCTAGCTCGATGGGTTGGTACTGGGGAGAGAAGGGGCTCAGCCCTGGGCAGGAAATATGATTTTCCATGAACTAGGAAGTCTGAGATACTGAGATTCAGGGGAGGGAAATTGCCTCTTAGTCCCTTGCCTCTGGACAAATCAGGTCCCTTCTCAGAGACTCAGTTTGCACTAAGTCTAGCTCTTATATTTGAACCCCTACAATATTCCAGACACTTCACATTCATTATCTCATAGAATTCTCAGGAGAATTCTGAGTTGGTCATCAATATTCCCATATCTCAGATGAAAAAACTGAGTCTCAGAGACGTGAAGTGTAACTCAGGTAAGTCAGTCTTTAAAGCCTTTCTAGGAACCTCAGCCATCATCTTCTCCCTGTAAAATGGGCATAATACAACCACCACCCCTTGGGATCTAGTCCCAAGGATAAAAGAGGTAAAAAGCCAATGGTAATTGAGTTAGGGTAAGCACTGTTCTTTTCCCATGTCCCTCTGAAAAATGCAGAAATTTGGGCAGTGGGAAGTGATGGAGGTGGAGTGGGGGTCACAGCAATGTGCCTCCTCTGACTGGCCACAGTCCAGCCCAACTGCACTTCCTTTGAGTTGCTCCCCCTCTTCCCCTGCGCCAAATTTCTTCCCAAGGAAAGGCTTGCGCAAGAGATCCTCGGTCAGATCCCTTGGCCCCCTGCCTGCACCCCAGGAGCAGTTTGTTCTCCCCCCTCACCCCAAACCTGGCCCCTTGCCATCAGCCCCTGGTACCCGCCCAGTCACGTGGCACTTTGGTCTTCTTCGGCGTGCTTCCTTCCGGATCCGATTTAACTCCCACTCCTCCCAGTCCCTCAGGGCACCACACCTATTTTGAAGGGCAGGTGCAGGGCACACCGGGTTTGTTTTCCTGCCTATCAACTGGAGCCACCTCCCTATAACTGCCTCCATTATCTTCAATATCTACTTTTGCTTTGCCCTTTCTCTACCCCTTCATCCCCGCACCCCGCTCCCCACCCTCATCAGTCTCCTGAGCCCTTTTGAAGGCCTAATTCTCTTCTGGGCAGTGAGGGAAAGGGGGCGGGGTGAGTGGGAATAGGGAGAAAGAGCCCAAGATTCCCAAGGGAGCTCCCAGAACTGGTCTGAAACTCCCAAAGATGACTGGGTGGAACCCGCCAGACTCTGACATCACACAAACCTGGACTCGAATTCGATTTGGCCTCTGACCACTTGCTGATTTTGAATACTTCATCTCTCAGGGCTTCAGTTGCCCCTCCGTGCAATGAGGGCCCCAGGAGAGAGGAGGGGAGGGAAGAGTCCAGAAGAGGACCTGACCTGAACTACCGGGTTCCTCCTCAACCACCGCGCCCCTTCCCCAGCCCGGGAGGGCCGCGGAGCCTCCCAGTCCCTCGTCCGTCCGCCGCAGGCTCCTCCTCCACTGACATCAGAGCCGCAGGCGGGCGGAGGGGGCCAGCAGAGCCCGAGCCGAACCCCAGCGAGAGCGGGCGGGCTGGCGAGTCAGGAGCGGCGCGGCGGCGGTCGGCAACCGGCAGCCAGAGCTCGGCGCCAGACACCTCGGGCCTCCCAGCCAGCCCCGCGGCGGGGCAGCCGCAGGTACAGCCCAGGGGTCGCCCCAACGGTGCTCCCGGGCGCCGGGGAGGGGTGGCCCGATCCCCTCAGTCGCTGGATACCCTCCCCCAAGGATGCGAGTGGGTGCCCGGACGGGCTGGACTCTGCATGGGCAGGGCAGGAGAGGGCCTTTCTTTCCAGTCTTGACCCGAGGCCCAGCAGATGCCAGGCGACTGTGGGGAACCCAGAGGGTACTAGAGGAAGGTGGGAAGGGGGTGTGTGTGTGGGTGTGTGGGAGCGCGCGCGCACACACACACACACCCACCCACCCACGCCTGTGCTCGGCTGGGCCTGAATATGGACGGACTTGGCGTTTGGAGCAAGAGATGTGTGGGGGCTATGTTGGGTTGTGCTAATGTCTTAGCACAGGCATGCGGATCAGATATGCAGTGTAAGGGCATCTTTATGGGTTGGGGTGTCTGGGAGTCAGTGTTTTTCTTGTAAATGTGTGTCCAGGTGTTGGACATGCTGGTATCTGGCTCAAGGGTACTAAGAGTTGAGGCTATATGATTGTGTATTGAGGGTGTCCGAAGTTAGGTGTGTCAGGAGTTGGGGTGCGGTTTGGAGCACAGGAGTTTCTAGGGTATACAGAAACAGGATGAAGGGTATGAGTGAATCTGGGATGTCCAGTACATAGGTGAAGAATGTGTGTGTGTGCAGATGTGTGTTTTGGAGGGGTGTAAGAGGGAACTGTGGGAGGGATGTTTGGCTGTGAGGCTGTCTGGGGGAGTGTGTGTGTGGACATTTATGCTGATGTCTGGGTGTACATGTATGATCAGCTGTTGGGGTATCTGGGTATGGAATATACTGAATCTGGGGGCAGGTATTTTGGTTCAGAGGTAGGGTGGAGATTGGTGTGTCTGGGTGTGTCTGTGGACCTTCAAAGGCTTTACTTGCCAAGCCTCCAGGTGGGGTTTAAAACTCTGCCTCTAGAACTTATCATGTCTCCTTTCCTAGAAGTTTCTGCCTCTGGGATGGGTGGTCAGGCCCCTCCTGGGAACCAGGTCCAATCCAAGGAGTGGGATCGCACACCAGGGGCTCTAGGCAGGACACCGTCTCTCATCCTTCCTCAGAAGAAACAGAAAGGGAAAGTGCCTTCCTTGAGGTCACACAACATGGTGGGCTCTGAATGGACTCCAGTCTGACTGCGTGTTGGAAGGACAAGCTGAGAGGGGACTCATCAAAATCCTTTGCCTTTAGCTAGCTTAGCTGGACCCCAGACAATCATCATTTGGGCAGAGATGGACCCAGTCCTATCCATCGCTAACCTTAGTCTCTCCACTGTCCATCTGATAAATGTGGAGAGAAAGCCCACCCTCCTGCTGACAGAGGTCTCAGTGGAGAAAGGTACAGGCTGGATCAGGGTAAGAAAAAGCCAGGAGGGGATAGGCTGGGTGGTACAATTTCTCAGGCTTTTGGGACCCAAACAGGGAGCCAGGAGGGAGAGGGGGTAATAGAAGGCCTGGGGAGCTCCAGCTGTGGCTGCTGTTGCCGTGGTAACATTGCAGAAGGAGCTATTTAAAAACGTGGCTGAGATATTGCTGGAAGCCCAGGCTGCCGGAAACCTGATTTCCGAGAGGCTGGGTGGGAGAAGAAAGAGGAAGGAGAGGAGACACCCCAGCAATTCCCAAGGTGGGGCTGAGACATTGCTGGTTCTGGGGATGGGGGGACCCTCCAGGACCATGTGCTTCTACAGTCTGCTCTGGGGTCTTCTCTGCTGTCCTCCTGGGAGTCAGTGTCAGTTTGAGTGTTTGAATTTGGAGAGGGAGAAACTGGGAGGCAGGCTGAATAAATGAATGAATGAATGAATGAATGACTTTGTTGAAAAAAGACTTCTGGGGGCTCCTGGGTGGCTCAGTGGGTTAAAGCCTCTGCCTTCGGCTCAGGGCACGATCCCAGGGTCCTGGGATCGAGCCCCACATTGGGCTCTCTGCTCAGCAGGGAGTCGGCTTCCCCTTCTCTCTGCCTGCCTCTCTGCCTACCTGTGATCTCTGTCTGTCAAATAAATAAACAAAATCTTAAAAAAAAAAAAAAAAGACTTCTATTACCACCTTGAAGGATTTTCCTCTAGGCATGAGGACTTTGGGAGGAACAAATGACTGGTGAATGAATGAATTTGCTGAATAACTTTGTCAAATGAATGAAGCAAGGAATGAATAAATGCAGGCTGAATGACCGAATGGCACCTCAGCTCCCCAAGTTCCAACATGGAAGGCTGGGCTCTACTGAGTCTTTTCCCTCCATTCCCCTTCTTAGGAGCCCTGGCTGTGGCCAGGGGGCAGTGGGCCATGCCGGGGGCAGTGGACGGCCCCAGCTGGAAGCAGGTGGAGGACATTAGGGACATTTACGACTTCCGTGATGTTCTGGGAACGTGAGTCTCTGGACACGTGGTGGGGCAAAGGGTGGATGGGGAGGCTGTCCCTGAGCTGGGGTGTGGCTTGGGAAGGTTCTTACTCTTGGGACTGGCTGGCTGGGGAAGCTGAATCCAGGGTGGTACTTCCTCTGGTCAGTTGATCACTGCTTCCTGTTTCCTAGAGTTCTAGCTCCATGGCAGACTTGCCATAGCCCAGTCTGGCCCATCTTTTCACTTCTGGCCAACAGTGTGTGGAAAAGACACTGCTCTTGGTGGCAGCTCTGGGTTCCTGTGAAGAGAACAAAGTAGGGGAGAATGAAGGGGCTCTTTTGGCCAAGAGCTGGGGGTTTTGGCCTAGGTTTAGGAACAGACGCTGGGCATGGCTCTCTTCTCAGTGGTGGGAACCCAGAAATAATTCAAACCTGATCTCTGCCCCTCAAGTTGATCCTAAACATGTGAGAGAAACACACCCAGGGAAAATGACAGCAGGGTGTAGGGTGCACTTCCATTAGAGTCAGGAATGAGGACTTTGTAGAGCCCAGAATGCTGGCTTCTGCTTATGGAAACCTTTCTGGAGAAGCGGGTATTCGAGTTAGGGACTGAAGGATAAGCAGAAATGCACTTGTCAGGCAGGAAGAAGAGCATTCCAGGCAGAAGGAAGAGCATAGGCAAAGGCTGAGAAGCAGGCTATGTGCAGAAAGAGGTTAAGAATGATACAGCTTATAATCAGATGCTGGGGGAAGAGTGGAAGAAGAGGCTGAGAAGAGAGCACAGGTCATGTAAGGCCTTGAGAGCCAAGCTATGGAGACTCAACTTTATCTCATGAGCCACAGGAAGGCATTTAAGACATTTTCACAGGCTTGCAATTCAGGATGGTTCTCTGGCCAAAGCATGGAGGATAAATTGGAGAAGGACAAGACTGGAATCCAGCAATAAGGCTACCACAGTCACTAGGTTGTTATTGTTTTTTTAAAGATTTTATTTATTTATTTGAGAGAGAGAACATAAACTGGGGGAGAGGCAGAGGGAGAAGTAGGCTCCCCATGGAGCAGGAAGCCTGACACAGGGCTCGACCCCAAGAAATGGAGACCACAACCCAAGCCAAAGGTGATGCCCAGACAACTGAACCACACAGGCACCCCCACAGTCACTAGTTATTCTGATTATTGAGATTTCACCACAAGAGATTCTTTTGACCTATGACTTCCTCTTATCCTAGAGAAAGCACAAAGTCCTAGAAAAAATACTCCAATAAATCCTCCTTATCAGTGCTCTAATGCAAATGAGTTTGTTCTTTTCTAAGAGCTTGTCGTAAATTATTGCTTCTCAAATTTCAGTGATCATACAGATTATCTGAAGATCTTGTTAAAATGCAGATTCTGATTTAGTGGGTTTGGGGTTGAGGCCTGAGATTCTGCACTTCTAAAAAGTTCCCAAGTGATGCTGATGGTTCTTCAAGGTTATAAAAGGTGTTAATAAACCATGGCTCAAGTTGACTGTAGCAGAAAAAGAAATAAATCAATTATGTATAAATCAAAAAGCCAAGGGCATAAATGTCAGGCATAGCTGGATCCAGAGACTCACATGATGTTATCAGGAAATTGTCATCAGGAATTTCTTAGCTCTGATTTCCTTTGTGTTACCTTCATTCTCAAGCAGGCTCTTCTCAAGCAGTGGCAAAGATAACCACCATTATCTCTAGGCTTGCATTTTACCAGCTTGGCAGGAAAGAGCAGCTCATTCTCAAAGTACCAGGCACCTGGCTTGCATCACATGACCCAATTACTGTGACCAGGGATAGACTACACTGATTGGCCAGACCTGGGTCATGTGACCACCACACAGACCAGGGGGTGGAAGAGTGATGGAGGGAGGTTTATCCCACATCCTTCTGTTCACAGGTGGTCACCTAACCCATAGGGGTATGGAGGGGCTGAAGGGAACTTAAGGTTCCAGTTCCCCAGCTCATGAATACCTTCTCTCTGCAGGGGGGCCTTCTCAGAGGTAATCCTGGCAGAAGATAAGAGAACACACAAGCTGGTGGCCATCAAATGCATCGCCAAGAAGGCTCTGGAGGGCAAGGAGGGCAGCATGGAGAATGAGATCGCTGTCCTGCACAAGTGCGTAGGACACAGGGTTTCTGCCTAGGTTGACCCTGCCTTGACTCCTCCCATTATCTTCCTACCTCTGCTTTGGGCAAATCTTCTAACCTGTGAGCCTCAAATTGCTCATTTATAAAATGGGGTAATCTCCACTTGGTAGGTCCGTGGGGAGCATTAGAGGTTCCTTTATTTCATGTGTCTGGTGCAGCGGATAACGTGACAAATGTGACTGAAATGCCACAGCTTATTTAGAGTGGTTTAATCTGTTCAGTCAGATCTAAAAGCCAATCCTTGAATGTGGCTCAAAACAATGTATTTCAACTGATGCTATCTATCGTAGACCTACCTCCAGTTCCCCCCATATATTAAAGCCACTCCGGAAGTTTAAAAATGCCTGTCTCACGACCCCCTAAATAACCAACTGGTCTATGATTTGCTCACCCTAATGTGAAACCTGCTGCCCTCACTGGAAAGCTTATAGAGAATCTTCATTTCCATCCTCTCCCCTGAGCTTTCCAACCACGGTGGGCAGGGATGAAATGATCAGTTCCACTACTGGGTGGGGGAGGGGGACTGAGGCCCAGAGAGGGTAAGGGATTTGCCCAAGGTCACACAGCAACTTTGTGGCAGAGCCATGGCTTCTGTCAAGCTCAGTCACCATCATTGGTTCATTTACCAAGCATTCACCGTGTACCAGGCATTGTGCCGAGATTCTTTCTTATATTTTTCACGTGATCCTTAGCCCAACTCTTTGAGATCATTGGCTTCCTATTAGAGATGAGGAACCTGAGGCTTAATATTCAGTGAATAAATGAGCGCTTACTCTACACCAGGTGTGGCAGGAACAATGGTAAGATAAAGCCCCTGGTTTCCCAGAGCTGGTGTTCTGGTGACAGAGGCTGACAGACTTATAAACACAAAAACATTTTAAAATTGTGTATTGAACAGTGCTGAGAGGTAAAAAGATTTGTCCCCAAACAGCATGCACTAGAGGCAGGTGAGACCCAGCCTGATGGGTCTGAGGTCAGGGCCCAGTGTTTGTTTATCTCTGTGCTCGCCTACCTTCCATTCTATCATAATAAATTGTGGTAAATCGGCTTTTCCTTTTGGGACCCAGAACTCTGGTTTGTCCTGCCCAGGTCTGCAGTGGTGGTTCTTCAAGGTGAGGGGAGGAAAGTAGCTGAGCTGTCCTCAGCTCTGAACTATCTCATTTCTCCTTTCAGGATCAAGCACCCCAACATTGTAGCCCTGAATGACATCTATGAGAGTGGGGGTCACCTCTACCTCATCATGCAGCTGTGAGTGGCTTCACCCCTTGCTCACACCTCTCCCTGCTGCCCCTCCCTAGCCTCTGTGGCCAGACTGCCCTGTCCCCCGGCTGCAGGGTGTCCGGCGGGGAGCTGTTTGACCGCATTGTGGAGAAAGGCTTCTACACGGAGCGGGACGCCAGCCGCCTCATCTTCCAGGTGCTGGATGCCGTCAAGTACCTACATGATCTGGGCATTGTACACCGAGACCTCAAGGTGGGCTGGGAGGGTGTGTGGTGAGCTGCGGTGCCAGGTGGGGCCTCCACAAACCCCTCACTGTACAGCCTGGGGCAACTCTTAGCCCTTCCCTGAGCTCTGGCTTCCCATCTGCAAAATATACCCAGTAAACCCTAAACTGCCTCCTCCCCTTCCCCTTCCAGTCTGGACACTCAAATGGATACAGAGGTGAATGGTGCTGGTATTTAATCCATAAACATCTAGGTTTTTTTCTCATAATAAAAGCCCCCCTGCTCTTTGTGGAAAACTTGGAGGGGACAGCAAAACATGAAGAAGGAAGCCAGAAACCCCTGAAATCCTACACCTCAGAGACTATGATGGATTCACATTTTGTACTACAACTCCTTCGGTCTAGAAAAGCGCTGGGGTGAGACAGATCTGGGCTTGAATTCTGTCCCTAGGTTCTCAGGCAAGTCACTTTGCCTCTCAAGCCATCAGTTTTCTCATCTATAACGTGGGATTTTTCAGACTGGCCTGACAGGCATGTGGTAAGGATAAAATGAAAGCAAGCATTAGCACAGGATCTGACACACAGTAGGTGCTCAAAAATTCTTTAGGGCTTCACAATATAAATGTGAAGTTTATAGAAAATTCCCTCTCACATTCCCAAGGCCCTTGTCCTTTCTGGTACTTTTAACCTCCTTAAGAACTTCCTTGAGTTTCATGTCCCTTCAACCCAGATGGCAGCCGTGAGGCCCAGGGGCTTTTGTGAGGCTCCAGTTTCTGAGAGGTGGTGCTTGGGGAGGCAGAAGGTTCTGCCAGCCTCTGGCTATCTCTGCCTCTTCCTTTCCCTCCCCCTTCCAAGCCAGAGAATCTGTTGTACTACAGCCTGGATGAAGACTCCAAGATCATGATCTCCGATTTCGGTCTCTCCAAGATGGAGGACCCTGGCAGTGTGCTCTCCACAGCCTGTGGAACCCCAGGATATGTGGGTATGGAGCATCCTGGGCTGGGGCCATGGGTAGGGGAGGAATTGGGAGCTGCAGGGCAGAGATTTGTCACCACCATGTCCCTTTCCCTCCATAGCCCCTGAGGTTCTGGCCCAGAAGCCCTACAGCAAGGCCGTGGATTGCTGGTCCATCGGGGTCATCGCCTACATTCTGTGAGTCGGGGCTTGGCCCTTGGGGCATGTGGCTCTAGCGTTCTCCTCTCCCCTACTTTGCTCTCTTCCTCCTCTCTGCTATTTCTTCCTTCCTGCCATCATGTTTATATCTACCAACTAATGAGTAAGATTACTTCATTCAATACATGCCATGTTTCTGGCACTATGCTAAGCACTGGGGATTTAGCAGAGAACAAAACAAAATGCCTGCCCTGAGGGAGCAAAAACTCTAGTAGGGGAGATAGATAATAAACAAGTAAATAAATCCATAAAATAATGTCAGGTAGTAAACAACTATGAAGAAAAATCATGCAGGGTAGGGAGAAGGGGATGGATGCCATTTTAGATGAGGTCAGGAAAGTCCTTTCTTAGGTGACACTTGAATAGCCTTCTAAATGAAGTGAGGGAGCCAGACATTTGAGGTGTGGGGGAAGAATGGTTTAGGCAGAAGGAACAGCAAGTATAAAGGCCCTGAGGAAGGAAAGATGGTAGCAAATTAAGAAACAGAAAGGCTGGACAGGAATGAAAAAAATCAGAGAGGGGCAGATTTCCCCTCTTTGTTAAAGGGGAAACTCCTTCCTGTGGGTGCTGCCTGACCCAAGACTGCCCCAAAGCTCCATCCTGGAGCCAATGGGTGCACTGAAAGTGGATATGAGGATGAGTTTCTCCCTGCCCAGGCTCTGCGGTTACCCCCCCTTCTATGACGAGAATGATGCCAAACTCTTTGAACAGATTTTGAAGGCCGAGTACGAGTTTGACTCTCCTTACTGGGACGACATCTCTGACTCTGGTATTTGAGGCTTTGCCTTCTTCCCCTGGGCCCTACCTCTGGTGCCTTTCACATCTGCTTTGGGGTCTCTTCACTGCCTGCCTGTGGTCAGATTCCCGAGCCCCAAACTAAAAGCTGTCTTTAAGATCAGACATTCCACCCCAGGTGCTTCCCTCTGCCTGGCCCCTGGTCTGAGAAGCTTGGAGGCATGCGTTCATTCAGCCTTCAAAAATAGCATTTTTTAAAATACCTCATCCATTGACTTCCTATAACCTAAAACACCATCATAAAGGTTTTCATCTGTCCTTTTGTGCCTCCTATTAAGAGGCAAACTTGTGAAGCCATGATCAGTCACTTCTACATCAGTGTGAATACACTGAGTAGAACCTTCTTTAAGAACAAGTTTTTCATAAGGAAAAAAGGAGAGCTGGAAGGCTGTGGTGGGCGGGGGGCTTAGAGAAAGAGTACAGGTGGGGTCGGGTGGTGCATGGACAGATCTGGCCTCTTGTCTTGCTGAACTGCCAAGCCAGACCTGAGGGGGTGGGCTTTGTCTTGGGGGTGTCCCCAGACACCACCATGCTGTTTTTGTCTTTGCTCTTGTCTTGCGGGCTCAGCCAAAGACTTCATCCGACACTTGATGGAGAAAGATCCAGAAAAGAGGTTCACCTGTGAACAAGCCTTGCAGCACCCGTGGTGAGAGCTCCCACAAGCTGCAAGCTGGGGTGGGCTCTGGGGGTCTCAAGCCTGCCTCTGCCTTCACAGACAACCCTCCACACACCCCATCCTAGGATTGCAGGAGATACGGCTCTAGATAAGAATATTCACCAGTCGGTGAGCGAGCAGATCAAGAAGAACTTTGCCAAGAGCAAATGGAAGGTGAGCACACGTTCCTAATCCTGGATCCCAGCCTCCCCAGGCCTCCTCCCCACCCTACTCCAGACCTCAGATCCCATACCACCTAGCATCAAGTCAAGCACACAGTAACTGCTCAGGGATGCTTACTAAAGAACCTCGTTCATTCATTCACTCATTCATTCAATGCTCCCTGACACCTACTCTATCCCAGTGAGAGGCCCTGACCTCCAGGTCTAGAGGAAGAACAGTATAACTCTTAGGGACACCTGCTCAAATCTATGGGGTCCTAGAAGGGGCGTAGGGGTGCTGATGGCCTGACAGACCTATCAGACTCGACAGCTGAGTAGGAATTAGCCAGGTACAGCAGAATCATGTCTGAGGCAGAGGGAACTGGGATACCAAGGGCCCCCTGAGGGGCAAGAGAGAGAGAATGTGGCCATTCAGGAAGTGCAAGTGTTCAGTAAGCCCGGATGGACTCGAGGGGCTGTGGGAGCAGGAACCCAGGTTGGAAATGCAGGTAGAGGCCTCAAGTGCCACACTAGAGAACAGACTCAGCCCTGAAGATACTGGGGAGGCCCCAGAAGGATTTTCAGCAGTAACCTGCCTTCCAGAAAGGGCTCTTAGGGTGCAGAGAGAGGCACGGACTCATGGCTGGGAGGCCGCAGCAGAGATGTGGGCAGGAGATGGTGAGGGCTTGGACCACAGAACAGGGGATGGCTCAGGAGTGCTTTAGGAGGTAGAACTGACAAGACATGATGGTAGGAGAGATGTCGGCAGAGAGAGATGTTAAGGGCTGGCCCAATATTTTGGTTGGGGAAATGGTGAATGGTGGTACTATCACTGAGATGGGGAATCCCAGGCATATACACTTGTCTTGGCAGGGGATGATTTTGGTTTTGGACATGGTGATATGAGGGATGTGCGGAACACCTTGGTGGGTATGTTAAATGGAGAATGATGCACATACATGTGGGCAAGTTATTCAACCTACCTCTGCCTCAGTTTTCTCCTGTAGTAATGGTGACACTAACAGTGTTCACCTCAAAGACCTTTGTGAAGATTAAATGAATTGCTAAATAAAGTGCTTAGAACAGTGCCTGACACATAATGCTATATTAAGTGTTTGCAATGATGTGAACAGAAATTAATTATACATATAGGGTTATAAATACTTGTTCACATATACACATTTTATATATATGCATGTATGTCTGCATAAATATATAATATGGCTGGGTGTCATTTAATAAAGTCCTGTAGAGGTTTCAGGGGCTTTAGGCGATCAACCAGTAACACCTGAATGAAAATAACAAAACCACTGCAAGAATCCCACCACTAGACCCTGTCACATGATATCCCAATCTCAGAAGTCCCTTCTCCTCCTTCTCCACACAGCAAGCGTTCAATGCCACGGCCGTGGTGCGGCACATGAGGAAGCTCCAGCTGGGCACCAGCCAGGAGGGGCAGGGACCAACAGCGAGCCACGGGGAGCTGCTGACTCCGGCAGCTGGGGGTGAGGACCTATCCTCTGTGGAAGGGCGTGAGTGGTCCATGAAGAGGCAGCCAGGCTGGAGTGATGGTCTGCTATGGCCAACTCGGTTCTCTCTCCCCATGTAGGGCCTGCGGCTGGCTGCTGCTGTCGAGACGGCTGCGTGGAGCCAGGCCCAGAACTGTCCCCTACATTGCCCCCACAGCTCTAGGGCCCCAGATCCAGGGTCCAAACCCCTTGTGTGGGAGGCATTGGGGCAGCCTGCTCCCCTTCCCTCCCTGAATTGGAGAGTTACCCTGCCCCGCCATGTCCCCACCCCTTTCCCTATCACTCCTCCACTGCATTTTCCATACAAATGTTTCTATTTTATTGTTCTTTCTTGTAATAAAGGGAAGAGATAAAAACGTAGGTATCTGTCTCTCCAGATAATCCCCACCCCAAATTGCTGTGCGAATTACTGAATCTCAGAGTACCTGGCCCCTGAGATAGTTGCAGGAAGCCCCCTTCCCAATGCAAGACTGGATGGGGGACAGCAGTGGGGAAAACTACCTGGGAACCCCACTGTCCAGTGCCCCCCACCTAGACTTCTGGGTCTGTAGATCTCCTGCGCTTTGCTGGTGGCTCCTGAGCTCGGTGGGGTTGGCGCAGGTCAGCACTGAACAGTACCTGGGGGCAGCGGGGAGGTCACTCTGGGGGGTCAGGGTACATGGAGTCAGGGCTGGTGGGGCTGGTGGCAGTGTGGAGAGGTATAAGAGTTCACGGGGAGCAGGGTCAGGGCAAGGGGCACCCACTGGAGTCAGGGCTGGGGTGGGTGAAGAGTCCTGTAGGACCACCTGGAATGGCGGTGGTGGTAGAGGAATCAACTGGGTCAGGGCTTGGGTGAGGGTCAGGGAGAGTCCTAAGGGATCTGGGCCAGAGGAGGAGGAGGAGGGGAAGCTACAGTACACTTACTGCTTGGGCCCAGCCAGCATAAGGTCCCCACAGGCTCCGGAAAAAGTTTCCTATGCCAGAAGTGATAAGGTGAAAATAATTGGCCCTCCTATTCCCTATCTACAGGAGAGGGATTTTATGGAGAGGGGGGAAAAGTTTCTACCACCTCAGCCCACTACTGGCTCCAGCATCCCCCTCTCTCCTTACCCAGTTCCTTGTTAGCCTGGGGGCTTGGACCCTTGGCCTGAGATGTGGTGGGGTGCCAGCTATAGTCACGCTGGGCGATCTGCCACATGTGGACATCTATAGGCACGGCCTGGGGCTTGTCTAGGGCCATCAAGCAGATGCAGTCAGCCACCTTTGAAAGAACAAGAATGAGCCACAGAGGAGGAAGGGCAGGATCCAGCCAGCAGTCTGCTTCTGGTCCCAAAGCTGGCTGTTTTCTTTTTCACTCTGAGGTTACTATTATTTTCTATTCTCCATCAAAATACAGCTTCTTGTAATAACTTTAAAAATAGCTATGATGAGGGGCGCCTGGGTGGCTCAGTGGGCTAAAGCCTCTGCCTCCAGCTCAGGTCATGATCCCGGGGTCTGGGACCCCTACTCCACACAGGGGTCTCTGGGCTCTCTGCTCAGCAGGGAGCCTGCTTCCCTTCCTTTCTCTCTCTGCCTGCCTCTCTGCCTACTTGTGATCTCTGTCTGCCAAATAAATAAATAAAATCTTTAAAAAAAATAGCTATGATGAGATTTCTACTGCACGAACATCTATGTGGGCCAGCTTCTCATCATAACCTGGGAAGAAGGGAGTACTCTATCCATTCTGTAAACAAGAGAACTGAGATTCAGAAAGGTGAAATGACTTGGCCAAGATTACATGGCTAGGTAGAGGCAGAGCCAAGATTTACTGTTAGGCTGAAGTTCAAGCCCATGAGTTTTTTAAACAAAAATCCATTTTTTTAAAACTACAGAGAAATATACAGAAGAAAACAATAAATGCTCAATCCCCAGTCACGTTACTGCTAGCAAACCTTGTTGATATTAAACAAAAACTTTTATAAGTATATATAATTTCAAGATAAGAACAACACGAAAAGGAGAAGCATCCTTCCATTTGTCTTCCCAAAGATAACCACTATTAAGTTTCCCGTGGTTCCTTCTGGAAATTTTTGCATACATAGAGCAGCGTTTATGGGCACCTGAACAAATAGCCTTTTAAAAAAAAAGCACTCAAGGGACAATATCCTTTATACTCCTTCTGCACTTTGCATTTTCCCTAATAAAACATCTGCGTGTATCCTTTCTCCTCTTGCTCTGCATGCATCCAGCTCTGTGGCCTGCCTTGTCTCCTTCCCTGCTACTCTGTGCACGGGTGGTGAGGGTAGCTCCTATTCCCCTGGGACCTCACCTTGGTGCCCACCCCGGGCAAGGTGCAGAGGGCCTTGTGGGTCTCCTCGTAGGGGACCTTGCGCAGCTGCTGCAGCCAGGGCAGCCCGCCCTGTTCTTCTAGGATGGCTCGGGCACTGGCACTCACATAGCGGGCACGGTACCCCAGGCCCAGCGTCCTGAGCTGCACCTCTACCTCTGGCCCTGTTAGGGGTTGGGGAGAGTAGGGGTCAGGCATCTTCAAATACTTCCTGTCTTCAACCTACTGTGTGAGCTCTCTGCCCCAGAGGAATGCTTTCCCTAAGCACCTCTCTCCCACCTCATCGCCCTTTGGGAGACCCCAGGGCACTTGCTTATACAAAGGTAACGGTTAAAGCCTGGGTTCTGCCCCTCTACAAATGTTTTCTGAGCACCTACTACCCAGTGTTGGGCACTGAAACAGGGACTGAGAAGGACTTGTGGAGGAACTCCCCAGGTGAGCTCTTTAACCTTTCCAAAGTGCACTCACACCGATGATCTCAAATAATAACCATAATAACAATAGCTTCTATTATCAAGTGCTGGGCATCAGGTGCAGGCAAAGTGCTTTAGGTACTTTATCATGCTTTTCTCAAGGACCCTGATGACAGTATTCTTATTTAGATAATAACTGGCTCAAGAAAGGACATGCTGGAAATGGGATCTTGCACCCAGGTCTGGGAAACCAAATCTTGTGCTCTTAGACCATTAGATCACCCTGCCTCATGACTGCTTTATTCACCACTGAAACCCTTCTGGATAGAAACTCTTATTCCCATCCTACAAACAAGAGAAGCTTGGATAGGTAAATGAATGCTTTTGGTCTTATGACTACTAAACTGGAAACTGAGACCTGAGACAAAATTGCTGGGTTCGCTGTAGAGATGGGAACTTAGATTTTCTGCACAATTCCTGTATGTCAAATACTGACCTAGGGGCAGTATGTGTATTTCTCTACTCCACTCTTGTGGCAACTCTGATAGGTAGGTGCCATTATTATCCTGTTCCACAGTTGAAAACACTGACATAGAAAGACTGAATAACGCACTCAAGGTCATATAGCTAGACATCAAGTGCCAAAGGCAGAATTCAGACCTAGGCAGTCTGTCTCCACAATGAGTGCTCTTAATGCCAAAGTACTATATACCACATATAGGTGTGGGGGTTTGTTTTTTGGGTTTTTTTGATGAAGCATTGAACGCCTGGGGTACGAAGCGAAGACTAGTGAGGTGTTGACATTTCAGGGACAGATGGGAAGGATTTGGTGGAGTGGATCAGACTAGGCAAGGTGGTTCTGAAAGAGAACAGTGTTTGAGAAGGCAGAAAGCTTTGAGATGGAAGATGGCGTCCAGGGGAGATCTGAAGAGACCCTGAAAGCTATTGGAGGGTCTGAGGGCAGGGACCCATCTACTCACCAGCCAGGGCCTGCAGGCTAGGGAAACCATGGTAGGTGACATCATCAAGCTGGATGAGCCGAGGTCCAAAGGCCTCGCAGAGTCGTTCTACCATGCCAGTTATGCGAGCAATGTTGTTGTTGGAGGAACAGATGAAGGAGAAAAGGCACTCGATGGGGTCCTGTTGCAGGAGTCGCACACCTTTAGAAAGGTAGGGAATAGGATACAGACCTGCTGTCAGGAGTGGCCTCTTCCCACCCTTAGATCTTAGGCACCAAAGATCTAGAAGGATCCCAGGGGAATGAGGGACAGCATTGTTAGAGAGAGCAACACCAGAGCTCTCATTCCTCACAGCATGTGAGGTCTGGACTAACATTACATTCCACAGATATAGAAGCCACAATGTAAACACTATGAGGATGGGGATTTGCGTCTGTTTTGTTCACTGCTATATCCCCAGTCACATAGCAGATGCTATGTAAATATTTACAGAATGAATGATGTCACCTGCCCCAGGTCACACAGCCAGGATTTGGCTCAATATCCTTGTCACTACACTGTGGTAAGCAGCAGAACAATAATAGTAATAATAATTACTATGTGTCAGGCACTATTGTAAGCAAAGCTTTACACATATTAGCTCTTTTAATCCTCGTAAAATTCTATGAGGTGGATATAATCCCCATTTTATAGATGGTGAAACTGTGTAATTTAACCAAATTACAAGAACTCCAACACTGAACTCACCTTGGAATTTCTGAGCCACCTCTTGAAAGTGGGGGTCCACGGAACTCCAATGGTGATAAAGTTGAGCCAGGCTGACATCCAGCTGGAAGTACTCGTACACAGTCTTTAGCTCTTCTGGTGTGGGCCTGCCAACCCATCCCTTGTCGCCTCGGTACACAGTACAGTAGAGCTGCTCCTCAGTCTGAGTCAGTGTCCATACCTGGTTCGCCAGCACGCCAGTCCAATGCGCCGGGTTTTGTTCCCTCCACCTGAGTCCCCAGGCACACAGCAGCCCCGGTACTCAATTTTCCTTCTTGCACCCTTTGGGGCCCTCCCATTCTACCAACAGCTTCGTACACGAAACTGACTTAGGAAATGCAGAGTCATTTGATCGTCACAATACTGCACTGGCTTTTTTTTTTTTTTTTTTTTTAATTAGGCTCCATATTCAGCGTGGAGCCCAGCGCGGGGTTTGAACTCACGTTCCTGAGATCAAGAACTGAGCAGAAATCAAGAGTCGGATACTTAACCGACGCGGCCACCCAGGTGCCCCTGCACTGTTTTATTTTAAAGATTTTATTTATTTATTTGACAGAGATCACAATTAGGCAGAGAGGCAGAGAGAGAGAGAGGAAGGGAAGCAGGTTTCCTGCTGAGCAGAGAGCCCGATGCGGGGCTCGATCCCAGGACCCCAGGATCATGACCTAGGCTGAAGGCAAGAGGCTTTAACCCACTGAGCCACCCAGGCGCCCCCCTGCACTGGTTTTTTACCTCCACTTTAGAAAGGAGGTAAACAGACTCACCACCCGTGCCTCAGTTTCCTCTTTTGTACCCTGAGGTTTCTTCCATCACCCCCAACATTCCTTTACACTCCAGACCTGCAGGAGTCACTCACCGGAAAGACTGTCCAGAAGCCAGAACTAGGTCCAGGCGCAGCTCCGAGCGTGGACAAGGGATGGAGGCCCACAGTGCCGGGAAAGAAGCTAGAGTTCGATGCCCCATGCTGCATAGCATAAGTGAGCGAGCTAACAATACCACGCCGGTCTCCCCCTCACAATGGCCCCGCCCACTCGGTACCAGCTCTCCCGCGGCTAAAAGACCGCCCACACACCGGCTACACGCTCCTTAAGACCTCGCCCACCATGCCCTGCTCCCAAGTTTACTTAAGGCCCGCCCAGTTTCTTTTAATTCCTCCACTCCCCGTAGGCCCCGCCCCTTACGGTCAGCCAGGGACCCCCCCCCCCCCCCCCCCCCCCGCCGCCAACCCTCCGCCCTTCCTATTTATGTATCCTCCCGGGCCCCCGCCTCCTGGCGCGCACCAAGGTCCTCCAGGCAGCCGCGACATATTGGGAAGCGCGCGCAAACGCACTCTTCCGGCTTCTCGGGAGGCTGACCTCACTCTCCCAGGAAGTAGGACTCAAGCCTGGCTTATTGGATCCGAAGGTAGCCAATCCGCAGAGAAGAGGTGCCAATGAGAACAGGGTGTGGTGGCGGGTGGGCGGGCCTCTCCGAGGCGCCGCAGCGGTTGGCGCGCGCTGGGCTCGCTGCCCGCTTTCCGCCTTTGCTCTGTGGATGTCTGCACTCGGCACGCCAAGGGGTCCAATCTCCGCGTCCCGCGGACCGGTCGCACAATGCGCCCTCGGGCCCCATCCTCACGGCCAGATCTCCTCAGAGCCCCGTGGTTTCTCAGGCTTGCCCGCCCGCAGAGCCAAATCCTGTCCCTCACCGTCCTCAGGAAGCCTTTGTCCACCGAGCCTCTCCAGATATTCGCTCTCTTGACCGAGAATCGACCCGAACACAGCTCGGGCCCCTGCGAGGCCCCGTGAGGCGTCTCCACAGCGTCTGTCGCCTGCGGATTCTGTCTTCGCACTCGCCGTCTGGGCCGCTCCACTCCAAAAGGCCTTACGGAGCCTCGACTCCGCAGGCCTCCCCACAGACTTCACTCCGTCAGAGGCCGGGCTCCTCGGACTGCCGCGCCCCCGCCGCAGCCCGCCGGCGGCGCCTCCCAGCTGCTCCCTTCAGTCTCGGGCATTCCTTCAAGCAGCACGCCATCATCTCACACCCGTGCCCAGTGGGGCCTGTGGCCCTCAGGTGGCCTGTCTGCCTCGCCCAGTTTCCAGGGCTGGCTGCCTGGGCCGAGGAAAAATGTTTTAAGTCATTTCTTCCTTGCAGAGGAAGATCTGACTGAGCAAGGAACTAGGAGGAACTTTTATCTGGGCCATTTTTCACCTTGTAGCGCAGTGATTGGGAGTTACTTTGCGTGAATAGACTGCAGATTCCTCAAGGGCAAGATCTGCAGCTGATTTCTTTGTGTCCCACCCACAGTACCTAGTAGGGAGCACCAGAAGCATGGTTATCATCAAATGGTATTTTTGTCTGCTCCACTCCTCAACAGCTGCAGCGCCCTTGGGCAACTACGGCCTGTGCTGTCTCCTCTCTAGGCAGTCCAGCCCACAGGTGCCTAGCACTTGGAAGGCATTCCTTCAATAACTGTTTGAATCTGTAAAGGGGGTGCCAAGGTTGAGAATGAGTGAAGAACAATCCTCTACAGGCTTGCTCTGGGTGAAGGTCACAGCTGAAGTGACTCTGAAACACTTGGGACTATGGTACTGGCAAAAGACTTGAAGCATCTGAAGTTCATGAAGGGATGGGCAGTATAGACTCTTCCTCCAACAGTTCATACTGGTTAAAGAGCCAGCTTGGCAGACAAATAACCTGAGTTCAAATTCTAGCTCTGCGACTTCCTAGTTGTGGAAATTTAGGCAAGTTACTTAGTTTTTCTTAATCTTAGTGTCTTTGTGGAGATAAACACCCTATTATTAACTTGCCCCAGAGTTACTGCAAAGATTATATGAAATTATGTATCTAAAAATGCTTAGAACAAGGCCTGCCACTCAGTTAAGTGCCTTGGAAATGGGAGCTGTTATATTCTCTCTGTTGTTGTCTTACAAATGCAGCAGGCACAGCAACCAGCAACCTCTTGAGCCCAATTATTTACCATCCCTGGGGGACAGAGCTTCCTTTTTTATCCCTCTCCCTGGCAGGAGGTAAGAACCCAAGAATTCCAAACAGATCATTTATTTTCTAAGAATCAATATATTTTCTTCCTTTGAAATAAATACAAACCAGTTTGAAAGGTGGGGGAATCTATGGGAAAAAGGGAAGTGGGGACAGGCCCCAGTCTTTTTTAGTACCAAATGACTCTGGCGCGACCCGGAAACGCAGTTACAAATGAGAATAATTTAAATTCTCCGCTAATTACAGTATTTACAACAGCAGGGGAGGGGGTCACCTAGTGCCCCTCTTCCGGGCTGGACAGACATCAATCCCACTGCTAGGCTGGGCAGATGCCCGCTCACCTCACCACCTGCGGGGGGCCTCAGGCCACTAGGCAGTTACAGATTCTCCTGGAACAAGCAGAGCAGGCAGAGGTGGTGGGATGGCCTGTTTTATGCAGTGTCCTAACCTTGGCCCACCATCCTGCACTACAATGTTATGAGGTCTCTGGAGCGTTCTGGCCAGTGTGACCTCCCCTCTCCTTGCACAGAGCCACCATGGGCCCTTGGAGTGTTCTGTACAGTCCAGCTGCACTCAGGGCGGGAGGGACCTCCCCCACCCAGCTTCCCCTGAGACTGGCCCCAAGACCAGGAATGAGTCAGTGCAGAGGCCGGTGCCACTCCAGGACAGTGAGCAAAGGGGGAGGAGAGAGGTGGCAGGGCACTGTAGGTTGGGCTGTGCTGGGCATTATCAGTCACTATCACTGGTCTCACTGCTCTGCTCGCCCTGCACCTTGCTGCGGTGCTGCAGAGCCCTGTGGTAGGCAATCTGCACTGACTTGCGGATGTTGGATTTGCGGCCCTCCAGCATCTTTTCCTTGTCGAGGTCCTGGTTCACGCCCAGAGGAACCAGCTTAGTTCTTGGCAGCCACTGCCTGTAGGACGAGGTGAGGGTCACATAAGTCATCTCTGGGAAAGTGACAAGCAGCAGCCTTCATCACACACTCATTCAAAAAATACCTCTTGAGTGCCCACTCTGAGCCAGGCTCTGGTGGACAATAGGGTTACTGAGACTAAGAGAAATAATCCCTGCCCTCAAGGAATGGCTCATGATCTAGTGATGAAAAGAGTCCAATCAAAAGACCTACTACGGGGTAACAACAGGGTATTTCTGAGTGCAAAACAGGCAGAGCCATAACCTAACCTGAAATAGGTATCCTGTCCCATAGAATCCTGGCAGACTTGACTGACATTAAATATCCTCTGCAGACAATGCACAAAAACATTACCCACATGTGACAGAACAGAGACTCAGGCGTGAACATTCATGCCTGTTTTATCTCCATCTTGTCACCATGAAGGCAGAGGTGGGAAAACGAAGTCTAGAAGCCACCTAAATCTGGGTGGGGAGCACACTTGTCACAGTCACTTAATGGCCCTTTGAGGTCTAGCTACAGCTGGTTGTCAGCCTCTGCCCACTCAGACTCATGGTCAACACAACCCTTCTGCTCAAAGATCTAAGTCCCTCCCCCTCTGATTTGTGATAGCCCAGTCTGTCTGTTGCTGGAATTTCCTGGCAGCCTGCCCCTATACCCAGGGTTGCATCTGTGGCTGTGAGTCACACCAGATGCTTCCCTCCTCCCTTACCAGGTTCGCTTGTTGTCAAAGAAGAGGACGAGGTAGAGATGCTCTCGGGCTTCCTGGGTCATCTGCTCCCCAAGTTTCAGCACCTCCAGTGGGGGCACAGGGATGGGAACCCCATGGTGGAACATACCTTCCCGGGGCATCTTTGGATCAATTATCTGAGGGTGTAATAAGACCTTTGTTTGGTTCAGTCCCCTTCTTCTGCACAGCTTACACTACCTAAGAATTGGGAGCTATCTCTGAAGTGGGGACAGGGAAAGGTTATTATGCCACAAGGCTGCAATGCTGACTCTTGGCTGCTTCTAATGATGAACTATTTGAGACCCCAGGGTGCAATGGGAAGGAAAAAGGAGACATGGAACAACTAACCAGGAACCTCTTAAGTGTCTATCTGCCAAAGACCCTTGTTCTCTGCAGTACAAACTGTGTCTGCCAGCTGGTGTTGGGAGACAAGGGGTATGATAAGAAAAAGGGAAGCCTACCAGAGCTGGGTATGATGGATACCCTCGGCATTTGGCCCACACCAGGTCCAGAGCATCCAGGGGCGAGTCCTCATCCTCTGACAGCCAGCCAGCTCCCCGTCCTAGACTCTTCCTTACCACTTCACAGGAATGGGAGAGAGGAGGCGGATCAGCAGCCAGGGGGCTGGCAAGGCCCTGACACTGGGCCCCCGGCATCCCTGGCCTTGGGTAAGGGTACTTACTGCTGTGGCCCACGCCGCGGCCAGTGCCCACGGAGTAGGCCTCATTCTCAGTGCCTGAGGTATCTTCACTGCTATCTTCTGGGAATGTGCCCCGAGAGAAGGAGGGCTTGCCCCGGCCTTGTTTTGAGGGTGTTGTGCTATGGATAAGAAAATAAGAACTCAGCTTAAAGGAGGGGAAGAGTAGATAATGGCATGGTAGACGTCCTCTCTTTAAACTGGGCCCCGGGGTCTAAGAATTATTGAAAGCTGAGGTCACTTGAAAAATTTCAAACCCAAATGCTTCAGAGGGTTGGCAGTGACATAACGGACATGGGCTGGATTTAGCAGTGGTAGTGATGAATACACCCCGTCTAAAGGAAGCACTGGCTAGATTTACCAGATCTGATTTTCAAAGAGAATACAGACACTAGGAATTTTACGTGGTAGTACTAGATTCATTTTTTTAAAAACACCATGCTGGTCAAACAAAATATGTATGCAGGCCAAATCCAGGCCCCAAGGCATCAGTTTATACTCTGCTCTATGTCACCTTAACCCAGGATGGTTCCCACTATTCCATTATGGTGACATTCTTATATATGCCATTTATTTTGCAGAGAACCTTGGGTCTGAGCCATCTTAATCTAAGCTGAGGTGGCTGCCACCCCACTTCCCATAGGGAAACCTGGAAGGGGATCCTGAAGACAGGCCTTGATCTGGAGGACTGATACCTGGTTCGGTCGGAGGCAGCGCTGCTGCTGCTACTGCTGCTGGACTCGGAGTCAGAGCTGCTC